TCGCCTCCCATCTGTCTCCCCGGCCGCCTGGTGAGCCAGGCCCAGGGGGTGGCACCTCTGTCCTCATTGTGCAGGGTGAGCACAGACCAAGGTGGAGCAGGGTGCACGTCCGGGAGGGGCTGTGGGTGCCGGTAGTGAGCACCCTGACTTCCCCAATCTGGATGAGGAAGCTCACGACCGGACCTTGTGGACGGCGGGCGCTGACGGGGCGCATGAGGCCTCGGGGCCCACGGAAATGCGTTAGTGATTTTTCTCCAAGCAGAAACAAGCGGCTACAGCCCAGCCGGGATTAGGTTTTCTTCATGCTTCCACCGCTGAGAAACAGAATTCTGAATGTTTCTTAAGGAGGGAGGGGCTGGTGTGCGAAATTCAGTCTTGGGGGGGCCCGAGGGGGCCTAGGGCTGGGTCCTGCCTATGGCCTTGCTGCTCCCCCAGCCCCAGCCCTGCTCCAGCGCCTGACCCCCTGCGAGAGCAAGCAGAGGGCGGGGGGGGGAGCAGAAGCTGTCACCAGCGGTGGAGAGCTTGCCCCGGGCCGTCTCGTGCCCATCAGTGCGGGCACTGAGGCTGAGAAGGGCTAACTGGCTTCCCCAGGATGCTCGCCCGGAGGGTCAGGCCCAAATGCTGACCCACTGGCCCAGGAGCATCTCCACGGAGCGGAGGAAGCTGGAGGGGTGTTGACGCTGAACGCCTGGAGAGCCTCACACAGACACCACCCAGGGCCGCCCTAACAGCCACAGCGGCCCTGCACTGCCTTCCTGCAGCCCCGCAGCCCATGGGGTCCATCCCTCTGTGTGGTCCGGCCGCTCCCCGCCCAGTGAACAGTAATGAAGCCGCAGCGCCTCCGCCGTCAAGCCCCAGGCTGTTCCTGGGGGCCGGAGGAAGACGCCAGCGTGAGACGGGAGGGACGCGGACCGTGGGGACGTGGAGGGGAGCCATTCCTTCTGCTTGGGGACGGGAGCAGAGCAGCCAGGCTTCCTGGGAGAAGGGACCTGTGTCCGTCCTTGAGAGATTAGCAGCGTCTCGCTGGCCAGTGGGACAGGAGAGGGCATCGGAGCCAGGGCACAGCCTGAGCGGGAGACCGCGTGGGCACAGCGGAAGCCCAGGCACAGTCCTGGGGAGGGCACGCAGGGTCAGGGGCCAGGCTGCCGCTTCAGAGGTCCAGATAGGGAGCGGGGTGTTTGAAGATGGGGGGGATGGGGCGCCATCAAGCAGTTAGTTGATGCACATTTATGAAGCATTTATTAGGGGCCAGGCAGTGTCACAGGCGTGGGGGACAGAGGTGACTGAGGAGTCAGCACAAGAGCTGGCTGGGAGTGTCTGCCTGAGCCAGCTGCTTTCCTGGCACCCTGTTGGCCACTTGGGAACTTGGCCCCAGAGCCTGTCCCTCCTGGGGCCGGATCTCTCCTTCCATAAAACTAGCTTAACTACGCTTGCCACGCAGCCACACCGCCCTTTGAGCTCCCTGGATGAAAGGCCCTGTGAATACCAGCCTCATCGCCCAACAGGGCAGGTGAGTAAGGAGCCCCCATCAGACCCAGGAAGGCAGAGGAACAGTCGGGGAGGTTACAGCCCCCCACCACGTTCCTGCAGGCAGGGAACCTGGCATGAAAGTGCCCTGCACTCTAACCGCCCCACCCTCCATGATGGTTAAGTGACAGACGCGGGACACCCTGGGTGCTGCCCATGTGACAGCGGAGGAGAACATGGAGCGGGCCTTGGCTGCAGGGTGTGGCTAGAGACTGGTGCCCTCACGCCTGTGGGGTGCACTGGGGAGAACGGCCTCCTGATGGGCAGAGAAGCCACCTGACTTCCCCAGGGGCCCAATGCCCTGTGTGTGCCACAGCTGTCTCCTCGGCTGACCTCACATACCAGGAAACAGAGGCCGTGAGCCGCGCTGACCAGCGTAAGGGCGACTGCCATTCTCAGTGACGCGGTCCCAGCAGGGAAATGGCGCAGAGCGGTGGAGCAGCTTGCCCGGGGTCAGACCAGCAACCGGCCCTGGTCCTCCGTGCTGGACCCTCCGCCTGCTGGCTCGGGACCTCCCGGACTGTCCGACGAGAGCGGCAGGGTGGCCGTGGCCTGGGAGCTCTCGGCGTGGCCCCTGGGGAGGTGGGAGGGCTGGGGCCCACTTGGGCTCAGGGCCAACTCTCGAAAGCAGAGTGGGCACAGCACCCAGGGCCCAGCTCCCAGTCGTGTTTTCATTTTCATTTCTTTTACAATCAGGAGAAAAATTAAGTATCCTAATAATGAACATTTACAATCATGAATCAAGCCTACATTAGTCAGTTTTCTCCCAGCGTGGCCAGAAAATTAAGATGCCAGTGTTGTGAAGGAAGGGCCACCGAGCCTCACAACGCAGACAGGCTCTGTGCGTCCTGCTGCGGTGGCCCCAGGCCACCTCCCCGCTCTGTCCCCGCCACTGTTGGTGAAATGACGACGGGAGGCAGAAGGAGCAAGCCAGGCAGAAAGAGAAAAGGGAGCTGGGAGGAGAGCAGCGGAGTGAATGGTGGCCAGAGCGAGCGAGGATCTCCCAGGACAGCGCTGCTGAGTGAGCAGCTGACAGAGCTGCAGCAGGGTGGTGGGGGCAGGTGGGGGCAG